TCCCTGGCACCATCACCTGCCCCTCACCTCTCCCTGGCACCATGACCTGTCCTTTGCACCATCACCTGTTCCTGGCACCATGACCTGTCCTTTGCACCATCACCTGTCCCTGGCACCATGACCTGTTCCTCACACCCCTCCCCTGTCCCTGTGCCCTGCCCTGTCCCCTCACCTGTCGTAGCAGTCCCCCCGGGAGCCGATGGGGACGTCGAACTCCACCTGGTCGTAGACGTCGTAGGGCTGCGTCTTCCGCAGGTCCCAGTGGATCCCGGAGCCCCGGAGCATCACCCCGCTGGGAACCCCCCAAAAACACACCTGAGGGCTGTGCCACGCCCCGCCCCGGGCACGGGGGCACACCTGGGGCGGGGGGTGGGCTCACCTGAAGCCGTAGTTCAGGGCCTCCTCGGCCGTGATCACCCCGATGTCCACGGTGCGGTTCTTCCAGATGCGGTTGTTGGTGAGCATCTGAGGGGGGCAGGGGACACCTGGCACACCTGGCACCTGCCCAGGGCACCTGGCACGTGCTCCTGGCACCCCTCGCCCATCCCTTGTACCTAAAACCCGTCCCTGTCATCAATACCTTGCACCTCTCACCTGTCCTCAGCAGCATCACCTCCCCCTGGCATCGTTACCTGTCCCTGGCACCCCTCACCTGTCCCACCTGGCACCATCTCCCCTTGGCACCACCACCTGTCCTTTGCACCATCACCTGTCCCCCCACCTCCCCAGATTCCCGAGCTCCCCCCTCACCTCCTCCACCTCGTCGATCCGGATGGAAAAGTTCTTCACGAACTCGTAGATGTCGTCCATGAGCCCCAGGGGCAGGTCCTGGCACGGGGGGACACGGGGCATTGGGGGGACAGGTGGGAGCTCAGGTGGGACTGGGGGGACAGGTGGGAAGTCAGGTGGCACCAGGGATGTGGGCAGGGGGGGTCCAATGGATGTCCCAGGTGTGGAGGACTCGGAGGAATGGGGGTCCCTGGAAATGGGGGTTCCAGGAAGAACGGGAGGTCCCAGGGGAATGGGGGGTGCCCTGGGAGGGGGGTCCCAGGGAATAGGGGGATCCTGGGGCTGGGGGGTCCCAGGGGAATGGGGGTGACCCCAGGAAGGGGGGGGTCCCAGGGAATGGGGGGATCCTGGGACTGGGGGGTCCCAGGGGAATGGGGGTGACCCCAGGAGGGGGATACCAGGGATGGGAGTCCCAGGGAATGGGGGTCCCAGGGCATGGGGGGTATCCTGGGGCTGGGGGGGTCCCAGGGGAATGGGGGTGACCCCAGGAAGGGGGGGGTCCCAGGGAATGGGGGGATCCTGGGACTGGGGGGTCCCAGGGGAATGGGGGTGACCCCAGGAGGGGGATACCAGGGATGGGAGTCCCAGGGAATGGGGGTCCCAGGGCATGGGGGGTATCCTGGGGCTGGGGGGGTCCCAGGGGAATGGGGGTGACCCCAGGAGGGGGATACCAGGGATGGGA